GAACGAATCAAACTCTTGAACGTCAGTGAATTAATTACCAGTCTGTAAATACATATAATTAAGAATATCTAACAATTACAAGTATTTCACGTATCTCTATTTTATTCTATTGATTATAATTAATTGATTATAGCATTTATCTAAAGACTAGACAACTCAATAAATCTATGCATTTTTCTTCAACTCTCTCACCTACGTTTCATTAGTGTTCAGTCCACATGTTTTATTTATTCGGTTGGCATATCTATGTCTTAAGGTGTCAATGGTTGTTTTGTTTACACAAAATATAATGTGTTAAATGTTCCTCCCATTGCCCACATACTTCACTTGCATTAAAAATGTTTGTTTGCTAATGATGAGACACAAATAAGCTGCATTATTCTCAGTTGCTAGAACTTAAATTATGAAACACAGAAACGCAGATTGCAACCGTAATTTTGTACATTCAAGGCTTTAAGTGATTCACGTAGGTCACACAGTTTAGGACATGCAAGAAGATCGGTAAAGAGCACATAAAGTCTCTTTTTTGTGAAAAGATAATATTATCCGTCACTGCGGAGACTGTAGCAAAACCCGGTAGAATCTCAGTGACTCAATCTGCTGTCAAATATACTGAATAACTAAAAGAATTAAATAAGATATATATTTTTTTGACTGGTAAATGAAACAACCGTACGTTGTATAAGTGATAAAGTCACTATTCAGCCTATAGGCTAAAACTAATCAGTCATCACAGTTTACTACTGTTTTACTGGTCATACTATTTGTAAAACCTGCCTATGTTCGACATGGCGGACAAATTGTGAATATTACTAAGCAGCATCCTAGCAATTACTGAAACAGCCGGTTAAGTCTCTTTGTCTTACAAAAAATACCTTTCCAGACTAAATGAAATGTGGTGGGTTATTTCTGTGCCACCTTTAAAGTTACACATACACTATGGTACTTCAAGCCTTACTTCTGTGATGACCAATAATATTTAGTTGAGAATTATGAAGGCTTTAAAAGTATATATCTTAGTTTTGTGATACTAACTGGTATTATTTACAAGCATTTCTTAGGTAAATATAGACCTTTCATAATTCTCGGTCCCTCAATGACTGTATTGTCTGAATTTTGAAGTACGAACTGATATCGCCACTAACCTGTAGGGATGCGTGTTACAATTCCGTAACGATTGACCAACCCTACTTAATTTGATGTGCTCTAGTACCTGCTTAACCAGTACTTTACCTAACGTGTAAGTACTGGTAACAAAACACAAATCAAAAGAACTGATACGCAATGTATTTAAAGGAGCTATGTATTTAAGGTAAATGTTATAATAATGAATGAGGGAAAAGTTTAATCAACTTATCTGGCTTGTCAGGCTGAACTAGGGACTCGGAGTACGTGCGTGGTGATCAGCACAAAGGAGCGCAAAAATGGCGTCCAAGCCTGCTCGGATGCATGCTCGTTAAAACAAAACTTAAAACACCCTAAGCATCCGGAGGCAAGCTAGAGATTTATTTAGTTAATTTAATTTAAACTATTTATTTTAGCCCTAGTTATATTTTGGTGCCAGGAAGGTGCACTACAAACCCTTCACTAGGACTACAGTAGTCAAATCCACACAGAAAGAATAGTGATTTAAATTGTTCTGCCACCTTGAAACATAACACAAGAATACTCAAACAATTCTAACTTATTCTATAGAATTTTTAGTAACTGCCCACAAACTAGATAAAAATTTTTATTATAGTTTAAATGAAGAGTGTCAAGACACTGCTTAGTGTTTTGAAGATCAGAAAAAACATTTCGACTCATAATACAAATGGAGTTAGAATGTTGACACTCAGTCAAACTAAAAACATGATGCGTATTTGAAGGTGAGGAATGTCATCGAATTAGTGAGGTAAAATTCGAAGCCGTTACGTAATCAGGCCAAGAAAACTATCTGAACAAAATGATAGGTAAGTGAAATATAAATTCATAATAGTAACAAATGCAGTAATAATAAAACAATACTTAGTGTGCACACAGATGCGAATGAAGATGCTAAAAAAGTGAAAAAGATGAAAGGGTTACGGTAGTACTAAACTAGTCTAGCAGCAAATAACTGCCCACAATCAATAGGCTAACGTTCGATGAGATTCAACATTGATACTGACCTTCATAGTTTTAACGCACTCGCTAAGCTAGAAGCACAATAAAACATCCACTCCATTTTGAAAGTTGTCGTGTTAAGTTGCCCTACTCGTACGCGATTCTCTAGTTAGTTAGAATGCATCGATAATTCGACACGGTCTGTCAAATATGCAATTACACCTGGTTACTCTATTGTGTTCATTCTCGGTTTTTGACTCGTGGGTATATTAGGAATACGAATAACCAGTGATTGGCTAAGTTCACACAAGGTCAATTCCTGATCTAGTTGTTGTCTCTTTTTATCACATAATTCCTTCCGGATTCGTCGTACAGCAACAGTTTCAGCAATTCGAAGTAGGCATGAAGCTTTTGTCTATTCTGTACTAGAAAGGACTCTGATTTATCGATCTGGTGTTCAGCAGACCTGAGAGACTACCGTCTCTTATTTTTCCGTATGCTCTTATTACCACATATACATGTGAATTGATTAATGCAGATGGAATTAAAGAAAGTTGGAAGATTTTACAAATGTGACTGCGCAGTTGAACACGGCACGTGATGTAGCAGTACAAGTTTTGCAACTGCACCTGTGCTAGATAGTGTACTTCTAATCGACTTGTTGATTTTGTTTGACACGGCTGCTTTTGAATATTGTTCCTAACAATACTGGTTTCTTTTCTACACTACTGTATTTCTCTTCCTTTTCCTTATTTTTGAGATAATTCTGCAAAATTTTTATCGGATACCCGTTGTCGGTAAGGCATTAATCAGTCAGCCTAATTCCTGCTTCGTATCCCTCTCTAGACCAAGATTCTTCTACGATGTGATGTAACGTAATCATGTACTAAATAAAAACTGTCTAAGTCTATGTATTAACTACTCCAAGTAGTTTTACGCTGAACACTTTTTTCAGTTTTGCTCTTCTGTCTGTGTTTCATGCATATATCGAGAAGGCTTTAACTACTGTTTTTGCTTATGCTCCACTGCGTATTTAATATTAATATCATTGCTGAATCGCTGAAGGGAAGTTGTTTTTTGTTGAACTTTGTTACATAGAACAAGTTTGTCATCAACCTACCTCAGATAAAACACACTTCCGTTGATTACAGAACTCAGTGTGGTACTTTCTATGTGTGACATAAAGGGGTATTAATAGATTATATATAAATAGATATTAATAGGTATTAATAGATTATAAATTGCTACTCTATTAACGAATCTGTACAAAACGTTGATAAGTTGGAACTTTATATCTTTGATACTCATGAGAGGAAAACGTTTTAGCTTAAAATTGGAGAATCCGATGTCTACTGTGTATAAGCAGATTGTATCTATCGTTTCACGAGAGGATATGTTCTTAAAAAAAGATGTAATTACATATGATACTAAACAATATATCAAAGAAACATGTCAGTGTGCGCTGCCACATAAGGAACTGTTACATCAGTAACTAACCGATAATTGTACCAACGAAGTTATGGGAATTGAACTTGTGTGAACTTAGCCAATCACTGGTTATTCGTATTCCTAATATACCCACGAGTCAAAAACCGTGTCGAATTATCGATGCATTCCGACTAACTGACTAGAGAATCGCTTACGAGTAGGGCAACTTAACACGACAACTTTCAAAATGGAGTGGATGTTTTATTGTGTGCTTCCAGCTTAGCGAGTGCGTTAAAACTATGAAGGTCAGTATCAATGTTGAATCTCGTCGAACGTTAGCCTATTGATTGTGGGCAATTATTTGCCGTTGAAAAGTTATTTTTGATGCATATTTTATCGTAGTATAAGTTTCTGAGACTGTGTTTGTCACAGCATGAGTCTCCTACAACTAATCACTGTTTCTAGGGCTTCTGATTTTTTCCACGACAATAGTCAAAGTACTAGGTTCATTCCATAATAACTTGCGTTCTTCTAAACGTTGGGAATTTGTTGACGCAAAACTAATGAGTTTGATCTTAAGATTATTCTTCATTGTTTATAAGTTGTATTTTCTTCTGCTCAGTTCGAAAATCTCTTTAGAACCAGCTATAAGATCCTTATCAAAACACAGGTAATATTACATTCCCATTACAAAGAAATGATCTCGTTGAATGGGGTTTATTAATGAAGTAATAGCAATTGTCAATTGGATCATTAACTACCGCTAAGGATAATTAAATAGTGGTTAATTACTTATACATGTGTCCAGAAAATGACTGAACTATGCGTTTCTATGGAGAATGATATTACTTTGATATCGTCGGGAAAAAAATTAAATTTATCAAATACCCTACATGGTTTGGTAATTCTTATACTCAGTTGCCCTGAATCATTACACATTAATACATTGTTCTGAGGTCATTGTGATTGCGCTATAAGTACTTATTTAGTATGAAGTGTAAAACTAGTTAGAAACCTGAATAACACCATCATGAAACATTTTTACTATCATGACAATAAAGTATACAACAATGTTTATTATGTCATAAATATCCTTTGTTGTTAACAATAGAAGGTAGTTAAAAATTTCAGGTCGTTTAAACAATCATTTGAAGTACACTCTGTGGATCATCTTATTTCAGGGACTAATTTCATTTCATGTTTATGATTATTTATTTACTTTTTAAGTCTTTGTTAACTGAAGCGTTCAATTCATCTTTGATATTTTATAAAAATGAACAAATTATTATTTCTTAATGTCATGACTACACAAAAGAATACAACTCTCGTTTCTATAGCAGCTATTATCATTATTACTGACATTATTTTTGGTAGACAGAAGGTAATAACTCATGTTATCCTTTTATGAAATTACCAATCACATGTGAATACTCAAACTTTAATTGGTACAAATGTGAATTCTTTGTAACCAGTTCACACAAACGAACCCTGTACAAAACTCATGTAATATATTACATCTAGAGATTGATGTATAAGACAGTGTTAACCAGTATTTCAATAAATTATCATGTGGTTGATTTATGTTTTGATAACTACATGTAAGCTTATTCGGTAATTTAATACACTTTTCAAATTTGAATATATTTTCCAAGCTTTCTATTCCAATTTACTGAACATTCAGAGTAGCAGAGTAAAAGTAAACCCCTTGTTAGGGCTTTTTGTGCTTATTCATGCAGGAAAGTTGAGCGATATTAAACTTTAGTAGATTGTCGTTATTTGTTGAATACGTGTGGAATGTTTTTTTCGTTATTTATGTATGTTAAAATAAACATTTTCAGGACTTTACTTCAGAAGACAGAAATGTTTATTTGAGAAACCCAGTTATGTGTCATTTTTCGAAAGTTATTATCACTAGTATTTGCTCACTTTGAACATTAAAGTAATTTTCATTCAGAATTAATGTCATCCAGATAGACAGGAAAAATTAACGTGGAAGTTTTCACACAAGCGCATTAGCTCAAGTTGCCACACTTCCCAGTAGTATACAAACAACAGGTGGATAGATAAGGAGTGATATCATAGAGGATGAAGTAGTGTGAGGGAACAAACAATTTGAAGATGGTAATGGCAAATATCCCAGCTTTACAAGATGTGAAGGAGTGAATAAGTCTGCGCTTCAGTGACCGGTTTTCAACCATATCACTAAGAATCCTCAACTACTCATTCCTTTCGTATCGAGGACCCCAAACAGACAGTTTACATCACCACCAGTTGTTATTAACGCAAAAACGTATTGTGTAACGTAAGACGACTGAAACTCTACAAATCAATTATCTTTGTAATTATCCTGTTTGCCTATTATATGTTTATTTTATTACAAACACATACTAAGTGCATAACTGTAAGATCATACAGCATTAACTTCAGTAACTTCATCTCTAAAGCGTTGTAACGGTGTCAATTTATCATTAGTTTTTTGGCTTGAATTAATTCCTTGTTAGATCCAACCTACATTACACTATCGATAATGAAAAATCGGTTGTAGTATCTAACATGATTTAGGCAACACGGGTCATGGTTTACATTCTTTTGTCTCACTGAACTGTTACTAACTTAGTTGTTAAGTGCTTAGATGTGATGAAAGTCTACCCATCAAGTTTGCGATCTGTTCAGTAAGCTGAGTAAAACAGCACTGTGATACACTATCTTCCTCGAAAGGTATTACGAGTAAGCAGATATGAAATACTTCAATTGTTATCAATTCATTAGTTGGTAGGGCAGATGAAATTTAATAACAGCGTAAGGATTAAGAGAGATAGTAATTTATCTCATTGCTGATGAGGTGAACTCAGATGGGCAAAACAGCCTGTCGGTCGTTTGATTATGTCGATTCGATTTACTAGAACTCTTATAAATGTGAATAGTTTGAACCACCAAGGCGGGTCACTAGTATAAAAATCTGATAAGTTGGTCTTCGACTGACCATCCAGTAAAAGTATTATTGTGCCTAAAAACTGTTTCTTCGTGTTCTGGAAGTGGTAGTGGTATTTATAAGTCATCTGAATTCTTCAGCTCGGTAGTAAACTGTTTATCTAAATTCCATGGATTCGAGATTTTCAGTCTTTTTTAATTCATAACCGAATTCAACATCAGATACACTAAAACTCTTTCTGTTCAATGGTCGTTGAACTGAAGTATTTTAACATTATGATCTTTATATTATTTCTAGCATATGCTATCCCATTGGATTTCCCATGTTATGATGAAACATGGTTATATTTAAATGTGACAGGAAAATGTTATAAATCAATATTAGGAGTAGAAAAACTAACATTTTCAAGTGCCGCATTATTGTGTAAAACATACCTGCAGAATGTTTCACAAGTCCCAGTAAATTTATTACAATTTTACGATGAAAATGAAGCTGATTCAGTTGTGGATATGTTATTTAGAAATGGTTATAAAGAAACTATTTGGCTTGGTGCCAATCGAAGCGGTAAGACCTTTTAAAGTCATGGATGCTACTCAAAACCTGTTAAAATTTTAATTTAGTTATGTTTTACTAAAATTGTCTTCTCTATCTAAATCGCAAGAGTAGTAAGAAACTGAAATATTAGAACGAAAAATTATTCATACACTTTGATAGTGCATCTGAGATAAATTTCACTGTCGAAAAATAGTCAGTTCAAATTAAAGAAGTCACTCAGATGAAAGATTGTCTGTAATTTTACATGTGTTTGATTGTAAGCCAAATAGGGGGTTAAAGTATAGCTCTGAGTCTTATGATACTGTCATCTGACTTAGTGTGGGCGGGCTGAGTTAAGTTATTACTGGTGAACTTCTCAACATGATCCTCTGTTTTTTTCTAACCATAAGTGTTGATTATTATAACTGTAGCTTATCTCTGACCAACATTTATACACTCGCTGCTTTTAACCGAAGTTATTTGCTAGATTAGCATCACAAAAAATTTCAGGCGATTTAAATAATTATTTACCATAGTTTTTTCCAATTGTACCAGTATATTTCTCGTCAGATTTTTGATGATGCTCTGAATTTAAGGTCTGCATCATTGATAAACTATCAAAAAATTTGTAAGTCATGCTATGAAGCAGATAAATATTTATTTAGTTTTTATTGTGTAACTGGAACGTTTTCACAGTCACATTAAAAAAAATGAAAATTAGGCTGTTAAGAAACATGTTTTCTGAGTAGCTCTAAATGTTGTCACAGCAACTAAGTCGACCATGACTTATGATGCTTGTTAATTATGATAATAAATGGTTTTAGAATAAATTTAAGCCATTTAGTAGCACTGGAGATTGTTTACATACAGTGGAAATAGCGTTAGGATTCGAACCCAAATATATAGATTACCCTTCCTTGGGCCTTTTATACATACACTGCAGTTGTGTAAACAATAAATGCATCTCAAGATTAGAAAAAATGTTTTCCTTGGATGATGCTACGACTTCACTTTTCAAACCTGCTTAATAGTTCATAGACTAAGTGTTAAGATCACAGTACAAGTTGACGATAATGTGTATGCATTAGACCACTTGAATCTACGAAAATCCTAGTATGGAATATGTTAACCTAGTCATAGAAAAATGAAAGTAATATGTGGAGAGGTAATCGTATTTTTGACAGCTGTTTTTGAATGCTGTACATTCGTGAACATGTAATTTAAAGGAGAGAAAGCTTTATAGGTATTTGCAGTCAGAGTTTAAGGTCAATGGAATAATGAAGGTAAGCTTTATGAAGGAGTGTGACGATATTAAGTGAAATGGAGGAACTTCTGCCGATTTTTAGAAAGTTACTGAATGAAAATAGAAAAAGGAAAGAGAATAAGAAAGATGACACAACAACATGTTATTCTCTTTTAAATAAAACTATGAGGGAAGTGAAAACAAAGATTTACAATGTGACAACTTTCAGACCAGGATCAAAAAGTCACACTAAATACATTTCTTTCTTCTGAGTCTAGTAATACTATCGGTAGAGCACCGGGTTGATAACTCGAAAACTACTGACTTGAGTCTTACCATGTTTTCATTTCACCTTTGATCATCAGACAGTAATTTGATGCTTTCATCTAATTATGGTGGCTTAACACCTTTTGATAAGTGACTGAATAATTAATTACTTACTAGTTTATGGACGATAATCAAAGCTGGTAAACTATGGTTCTGTTATGAATAAAAAATTTGTATCATTCCCTAAATATCTTCCACTTTGGGGTTGTGTTTGGAAGAATATATCTGGTTAATAGTCAACGAAAGCCGATAATTCAGAATTTCAGTCAAGGCAATTGACTGTAATTTAAAAGCACTTTTACTTTCAGAAGCGAAGCAACCTTTCACATGGTATACGGATGGTAGCACAGCTGATTTCAAGTATATTGAATGGTCTGAAGGAACTAAATCGGGGAACTGTATTGATTTTTCTTATTCAACTGAACCAGTAATAGGAACAGATAAATGGTCTGTTACAAAGATGGTCGACAATAAACCATGTGAAATTGGACGTTCTTTTATCTGTGAACATAAAGGTTAGTAGTTTTGTCATTATATATGTATGCATAAGCTAGAATTGTATTTGTAACTGTGTACCATGGTATTGACTCAAATGATTCCCAAAGAACAAGATATCTTGATCAAACTTTAAATTCGTAGCTACCTTATAACTATTTGTAAGTAACAATCTAGGAATTCACGAAAATATTTGTTTTCAGGTTAGAATTCATCATGGATTGACATTGGGTGGAGTAACGTCGTAAAGCTGGGAGCACTGGACGGCTGTTTCGTCTTAGTATTGGACTATTTAACAGTAGGAACCTACACCCCGCCAGGGATGGAACCCAGAACCTTCAGGTTCAGTAGCCAGCACGTTATCATTGAGGACGAAACAACCGTTCAGTGCTCCCAGTTTTCCAATATTTCGCCAACTGACGTCAGTCCATGATGAGTTTCAACCTGAAATAGATTAATAAATCCACTCAAATCTCCAAATTGAAAATATTTGTGTTTTGGCCTGATTCTTTACATGGCAGGAGATTCAGTGTATTTGTTACAGTTTCATTGGATGTAGGTAGATAGATAATCAATACGGTGAAGAAATTCTCCTTATGTACGTAAGTCAGCTACTTTTGTTATGACTGTTCAGAACTGTAGGATGCACCTAAATTAAGTTGTTAGGGATAAAGAAGGTGCAGTTTTTAGAAATGTTTGTGGTAGATAATAAAAGATATCATCAGAAAATGTTTATTTATTCATCATTCAAATCCAGTTCATGCCATCTTTCATCATCATCATCATCATCATCATCATCATCATCATCATCATCTTGTCTCGATTTCAGCTGGTTTTATTGACAAATAAAGAATCAATCTACATGATTTTATCTAAGAAGGTAATAGTAGATGGATAACTGATTAAACGTTAAGAGATGGTTACGCATTGTTGACTTTGATAGGCGTAGAACTGGGCTTCTAAGCATTGAAACCATTCAATCAGATTATTATTTGGCGGTTAATTTCAATCCATTTTAACATAAACAGTTAAAGAGTCTTAAACTTATAAGTTGAACCATATTTACAGCTATTTTTTCGTACAAATTTTAATACCAGCGATAAAGTCATACTATCTATCCATATAATCAGTTCTACTAGGTGTTACTTTTATGGCGAATGAATCATGGGTGTTTCTTGGAAGCAACCGTATAAAACTGTATCAAATCCTGTGGACATGACTACCTCAAATAAATTGTGGTTTGTAAAAAAGTCATTAGTTTTCGAATTGTATCTTCGGGATTTTAAAACCATGAATTCCCAGCTATTTTTCTCATCGTGATGAATATATAATATCAGGATAAAGGAAATCATTCATAATCTATCTAGATTCCTGAAACCACTTAGAAGTCTGTAAACGAACCTCATACAGCATTGAATTTCAAGATTTTCAACAAAGCATTTTTCCGAACGCATTTAGTTCATTATACTTACCTCATCGTCAAATATCAACAAATATTATTTAGTGGTCAAAATGAACAAAATATAGCATGCTTCTAAAAGGAGTGGCTTTTTGATCTTAGAAATTAGAATACAAAGTGGTCGAAGAATACTGATTTGGATTAAAGAAGTCAACAATTCCAGAAATATTATGACAAAAACTGGTTGCGCAAAGTATTAGGAAGAAGAGTATTACCGAATGACTATAAATTGAAGAAACTACTACTGGATGGTAATCTTAATAAATACAGGACAATGGAAATTCTTAATGGTCCTAAGGTTTCGGAATAAGTTTGCGAGACTTTCTGATAAGAAGAGGTTGGAATCTAACCCTCTAAGAGATGTAACTTCTTCAGATTACTGTAAACTCGAGTAACACTGTCTGCTGATTATTTTAAGCTTGTTTCGAAATATTATTCCCATACTCCGTATCCAGTAAGTGTCTGGTAATCAAGTTGTTGATGGCAAGTGTTGTTTAATGGAAGAGTAGCTTTTATGCGTCATTTTTATAAAATCATATAAGTATCGCTCAGTATTTCATAGATTCAGCTCCGGTGACGATTGCATATAAATTTATCAATATTATCTGACATAGGATTCTTTCTCATTGTGGTCAACTAGACTGTGCTGGATTATGCAACAAACTGTGAGGAGTGAAAAGATGGGCATAAGCTGGACCGATGAAAAGACTCTAGAAGATTTGGATTTCGCCAACGATGGTGATTTACATCTAATTTCGCACAAGCTCGAAGATCTACAGGCGAAAACCAATAAGTTGACAGAAGAGGCAGGGAAGACGGGCTTCAGTTCAATGTAGAGAAGACAGAGGTGATGAAGATACCCAAACAACAACAACAACAACATCAACAACAGGCATCAATCACCATCAACGGAGAAACCTAAAGGAAGTAGCCTTTTTCACGTACCTACCTACCTGCCTACCTACCTACCTACCTACCTACCTACCTACCTACCTACCTACCTACCTACCTACCTACCTACCTACCTACCTACCTACCTACCTACCTACCTACCTAGGCAGCATCGTTTCAACCACAGGTGGCACAAGCACAGATGAGGACGTGAAAGATAGGATCGGAAAAGCAAGACAGGTCTTCATTGATCTGATATCAGTATGGAGATCAACAGCACTCAGCATAAAAAACAAGATCCCGATTTTGAACCCTAACGCCAGTCAGTCAAGTCAGTGCTTCTAGGTGATGTTTGAGAGACTTGGCGGCTTACGAAAAACATTTCCAACAAACTGCAGACATACATCAACAGCTGCTGCCTACGCTGACTCGATACTGAAGGTCAGAAGGCCAAAAAGAATAAGCGACAAGGAACTCTGGCTGGCATCGAAACAACCAAGAAGCTATCGCCAAACAAATATACAGAAGAAAGTGGATATGGATTGGATTGGGCATACACTGAAAAGACCATTCGGGGACATCAAGTGCCAGGCCAGGCCGTCGAGTAGAGTTCAAAGGGGAAACGACGAGTCGGGTGTCCGAGGCGAGGGTGACATGGAGGAGATCGTGTGTTGAATAAATGAAAGCTTGTGAGAAGTGGTGGAACCAGGTTGAAAAGACTGCAGAGAAGAGAGTGCAATGGAGGTGTGCTACTGAAGCCTTACGTTCCACTTGGAACCTAGGGGACAAATAGTAACATAATAATGATAATAATAATCTGCACTTAAAACTTTCTCATAAAGCAGAATCAATACAATGACAGCGTACTTCTTGCTTGAAAAAGTGACTTTGGTTAATGAATAGTTTTACTTGCTATCTGGTTCCACTCAAACATGAATCAGAAAAATGTCGTTTTTTTGGCTTTTACTTTTTCCAACCCGATGGCAAGTTTTTCTATACATTACCTTATGAACGTTTAACTAACTATACTACTGAATACATTTTTCACCAAAATCTTATTTTATTTCTAAGATCTGCTTTGAATAGTGTTTTGTCGCTTTGGAGAAGTGGTCTCATCTAGAAAATCCATGAAAGCTGAAGTATTACTTGTTTTCTTGAAGGTTATACCAATTTTACGTATGCTCAATAGGATTTGAAGTGAATTGTGTCATCAACTTCTGTTTCAGTGCAGATTTAAAATTTTAGATAATTACTACCACTTGCTTCGAATCCACATTTTGCATTACTTATTACTAGTTACAGTAAAGGTGTCAAAAATACACCCCTTAAATAATGTCTTTACTTTGACTAAAAATGTTATTCTACGACTTGACACTTTTGACGTAAACGTATCACTGAATAGTAGATCTATCCACATTTATCCCATCAATTCAACTGCGCAGACTACTACGAATCTGGAAATCGATATTCCTTCAATATTCAGATGTCATGTGATATTGGTCTTGAGTGTGAAAAAGTATCCCAGTAATTGACTGGTTGACTATGTGGATCGTTTCTTCCACTAGGATGGTCATGAACCATGAACTTATGTCATAAAATGCTAAGATTTTGGCAGAGATATTTAAATAAACAACCGTTTGTTCAAATCCAAAATGTCTTCAAAACCATGGATTACTTACTGGTTTCATTCACTTGGAGTTTAAAACAGAAGGATATTTCAGGGTGTAGGCTTTAAATATGACTGATCTTTATAAGACACTAGGTTCGTTTACTTTTGCTTAAATACAACAATAATCAAGGAATATATCTATGAGTCTTTAATGTTACAGCTTGTGAATCTGTCGTTGATTAGGTCGAACTGATCGTCAACTATTGGCACATGGGCTCTTATGTGGATGCCTCAATATTCTCAGTACTTTGGAATTTCATTTTAGGGATGGATAATAGTTAGCAGAGGAGTCCAGGATGCTCATTTCGTCCTATTTGGGATTGGTCGGATGGATACACCTGCTTCTCATTGAGTGATGTTGTTCTCACTGAGACTCGAAGATGGGACTAATTGTTTGCACTAGGGTCACAAGCTATAACATCTAAGTGAATGGTATTTAGATTGAGTCCTAGTAGGAACAACATCACTCACTGAGGGATAGATTTATCCAGATGACGAGTCCTAAATAAGATAAAGTGCATATCTTTGGTTCCACTGCTGGCCACTATTCATCATTAATATCAAATATATAAAGAGTTTGTTCATTGTAAAATGAGTCAGTTTGTTTTAAATTAATAAATAAATTTAAAATGAATATTTACACAGTTATTAGTTTTGGTAATATTCTCAGGAACTAGACACAGTAACGAACGTACCTAATTGTTTTTAGCTTGTTTAGATGGATTTTTGTAGAAATAACTGGTTATACTAGGAAACTATTTGAAGTTCCAATGTTTTTATTTCAGTCATGGGTAGTTGAAATACTAAATCATCTAAACAGCTGATTTTGCTGATATTTCAGCTTTGAGATAGAAAAATGTTGATGAAGACTTCATGATGATATCTGTATGACAATTTTTCCTCAAAATTATGTATATTATTCTTTCTTGTGTTCAAACATACATTTAGTTCCACTTTGCCAAGATCTACAAGGAGGTTTCAATTCAACTACAATGGTTTTAAAACCGCCTGTAATTTCTCCAGGATCTATTGTCCAAGCAGTTTGCGGACCAGGTACTGTAAAAGACTCAAGTACCTCAGCCAATAGGTTATCTGGTTTTAATGTGGATTTAAGTTTATCTGAAGGCTTCTACAGATGTACGGGAACACGATTTAATAATAGTCAAGTTCCTGAAGATCCACTCAAATTTAAACCAAGACTTTTGTATTCTGGTTATACTCTTACACCGTGTTCATGTAAGTACTGATTGAATGAAAAAGGTTTAATCAAGTGAATTGGTCTTTCATTTATGTAGTTTTTCATAACCTCTATCATTATAGGACAACAAATGAATATTATAAACTTTAGGATCAAAATTTGATCTGATAGAGTTGAATAAGTTGAGCACTGGGTAAATGGATTATAAATGAAATATATTTATACAATCCCAATGAAGTAGAAAAAGAAACTTCTGACGTTTCACTATTTTGTTGAAATCGCTTCTTCAGAGAATAAAACCTGTACAGGTTATCGATTGCTTAAATAGTAAGTGATGACAAATGAGATCATATTGTCTATACATGATACATAATGTGATCATAAATGTCATTGTTATGTTGGTTAGGAAGCATTCAAACTTGCCTGTTATCCAAACCGTATTTATCATTCATAGTATTTTTCTTACGCTTTCACACCGAGTCACATGTGTATATATTCACATTACTCTAAACTCCAGACTTGTAATGGATAACAAAGACAAGTTTGAACACTTCCTAACCAACATAACAATGAAATTTATGTTCACATTATGTATCATGTATAGACAATGTGATCTGATTTGTCACCATTCACCATTCAAATAATCGATAACTTGTACAGGCTTTTTTCTCTGAAGAAGCGATTTTTGCGAAGTCAAGAAACGTCAGAAGTTTCTTTCTTTACTTCATTGGGATTGTACAAATATTTATTCTTTTAATAATGATGAACAGTTGTAAATTTTATTTCATTTGGCTGTTTACATCAGTTATCCGTTTTCAACATTTTAAAATGTTTCCGTGACTAATACCTCATTTAAAATGAGTGGGTATAAAAGATTATAACCTTATTTCAGATTTTCTTTGTTAATATCCAGATTTTTGAGTCCTTTTCTAAGGGTATTTGAAATGCAAAGAAGAAAGTTGATCAAAGAAATAAGGAATTTATTGAGTGTCAGCATTCTAAGAATTATTTTTCATTGGTCACTTAAATAACAACCGACAGTCTCATTAGACATTTACAATTTTCATACGTAGTACAATAGATAACTGTTAGTTAGATAGAATCAGTCAGCAGGAACCTCTGGAACTAGGTTTCATGCCTGTTAGCACTCGTCACCAAGGCCTATCTGTAACCTCTACGGAATCGATGTCCTACCTTAGATTCGAATCCATGTCACCAGGGCTACAGTCGGAGACGTTACCACTGAGCTATTTGGATTGAAAATGACCTCATGTAGGACTGGACTAGATACAATAATTGGTTGCCGAAGGGTAACCAACTTCATGTTGTCTAATCCTGACTGCTAACCGAATTCAGTTGGTCACCTTGCAGTGTGGCCACCAAACTACGAGATTCACCATTCCGATACACTTTGTTAGATATTAGTTGGATAGCTATCAGATTTCGGAAAATTTCATATGAATTTCATTGTAGTAAAGAAATCTGATAATACAGATCTTAACTATTTATCATTTTAAGGACTAATGAGTATTAATTTGTAGCTAGTTTGTGTATAGATTTCTTGTTTTCGTTTGGTGACATTATTAAAGTCTTGTTTGATCTTTATTTTTGTGATCTATTCAATTTAATTCTATCTGTTGTTGTCTAGTGATAAAAAACAATCCTCAAGTTAACTTTCATTCACCTAGAGTTTCGCTTTTCAGCTTAACTTTGGAATGCTGATCAGATGCTTTACAAACATTTTAAGTGAAATAAAGATTCAGTAAATTTAGCTCATTTAATGCATTCCTTGAAACGTCTGATGTATTTATATGGAGATTTTATGACTTCATTTGTACCATTACTTGCAGTTAGTCGCTGCCTCTTAAAGTGAAATAATAACATAACCTTGTGGTATACGGAATTTATTCCTAGTTAGTGAGCCTTCACATCCTAGTTCATTACAGTTCGGTTTAACTGATCCAGAAGCAACCTCATCTGGTACTGTTCAACGAACTATGCAAACCTCCATAAAACTAAAGGACTTGCATTTGTCTCTCAGTTTATATTGGCCAATAATTTGTGCTTAACCTGATTATCGGAGTCGTTACGTTGTTTTGCAAACAAAGGTTTTACGAACACTGATAAACTGGTAAATTTTGTATTCCTATATATGTAACATGAATTAATGCTACGTCTGTTTGGATATTTCCAGATTTCCACCAACAAATATTGGAGATACAGATTGTATTTGTGTAAGTCACAGTGAGTTTGATATCAAATAATCCCAACGTTTCGCATGGAAGTCTGGTTCGAGCTTCCTCAGGGAAATAATCAAAATTAAAACATCAAAGATGTATAAACGAATCCAAAAAAAGTGTATACAATCGCTTTGTCAAATCCTCTTCGTATAGTCACTGTCTGTCTAAATTATGATAACTAATCATTCACTATGAAATTGTATGTCTCTTGTTGTATGGCGTATGTGTGTATGATGTATATATGTACTCCAACTCGTATTCGTCTTGATTGTAAATATCAGACAAAGCCAGATTGTGTTGTTGTTGATGTAGCAATAATGGAGTTGAGACTAGTGTTGATGGTAAGTGTTTTGAGTCACTCTTTCTGCTTACCAATTAGTAATTGCCAAGAGGCAGCTAACTGTACTCCATCTCGTTTTTTCAAACTGTCTAGATTCTTCCATTTATGTAAGACTTTGGCTGTCAATCTTTCTTGGTATGATCCGAAACCTTTTTGCAGAACCTTAGTTCCATCAAAGTTAATTTTATGTCCTGTTTCTATGGAGTGTAGCGTGATTGATGATTTGTTCTCTAGTTTCTTAACCTCTGCTGAGGTTTTTGGGATCTGCTTTAAGCATAGTTTATGCTCATTGACTGTCACACTTACCTGCCTGGTTGTTTCCCCTACATATACTTCAGTGTAATCAAGACGAATACGAGTTGGAGTACATATATACATCATACACACATACGCCATACAACAAGAGACATACAATTTCATAGTGAATGATTAGTTATCATAATTTAGACAGACAGTGACTATACGAAGAGGATTTGACAAAGCGATTGTATACACTTTTTTTGGATTCGTTTATACATCTTTGATGTTTTAATTTTGATTATTTCCCTGAGGAAGCTCGAACCAGACTTCCATACGAAACGTTGGGATTATTTGATATCAAACTCACTGTGACTTACACAAATATAATCTATATCTGATGTCAACCGTTTACTCATCACCCAATAGTTGCCTTACCATACGATCAAATCTTGATCATAGTTTGTATAAAATACTGGAGAGATCACGTTAACCCACTTGTTTTAAATGTTTGTATATGTTTACTGAAAGAGTGATCTTAAAAGCCATCCTAGCAACTGCTAAGATAACCAATTATTTTTCTTTATTTCATGAAAAACTGTCTTTCTAGTCGGAATACCGAAACCTGATTGCTTATTTCAGCATTTGCTAGGATGAACTTCAATGTGATTTCTACTGGAAGTGTCATAGATAAGGCATCCTATAATGTTTGAGTAGGATCTGTTTGCAAAAGTAGACAAATTGAAAAAGATTTAAATTAGGTGGTTACAAATGCGGACCAAGTCTGGTCCCATGAACTTCTGCACTGACATGACAACTTTTACCATGCAATATTTTATGGGTTAGTTGGTCTGTTACAATGCGATTGAAAGTAGTGCATTTAATTTTGTTTAAATCATTGTAGCAAAATACCTTGCTGCCTAAGTTATCAAATTAGATTGAAGTTTTTATTACATAGTAGGTACATTGAAATAACTGATTTAAAGCTTTACATAGTATCTGTACAACAGTACAATAGTATTAATTCAGTGTTGTAAAACCTATTATTCCTCTAGATGTGAGGTGTCCACTTTATCCTGAACTTATGGAAAACATAGAGAACAAACCTCAAGTTCCAAATGGTTCAGATACTTTAATTTATGACTATGGACAAAATATTTCATTACAGTGCAGTCGAGGATATGTGAGTTTTCAAAATCCAAATAGTACCTTAGCAACAATGATGTGTGCTCAAGCTAGTACAACGTCTAATCAGGGTTTATGGGATCCAGAGAATTATCAGGCATGTGTAGGTAGGTAAAAAATTAAGGTTTTAACCATAAAACTAAATTATCATTTATTTCACTTTTAATAATTACGCATAAGTCTCAAATATAACTTCGAAAATAGAATAGAATTTCTTATCAAGGCTTTAAAACACAAGTTAGTCAAAATAGGTAGCTTAACTCTCCAGCTAGCACACATCTTCATTAGAGAACCAGTTTCTTTCCCAGTGCAGATGAGCATAATAGTTGTTAACTGGAACAAGACAGAAATTGTATAGACGGTTGGATCTTGTATCTGAGTAATATAGCAATGAACTAGTTATCTAAAATTCAGTTGCTAAAACATGTACTTAAGCCAGGCATGTTTTTAACTTCTATAGACATTTTCAGATATATAACAAAATTTTGCTAAACAAATTTATTCACAATGAACGGTACTTCAAGGAGGAAACATTTCCTTTCGATGAATCATTTTTTGAAGTTATACATTCGCACTTAGAGGTACAATAAGAAAAAGTGGCCATCAGTAGCTAATAAATAGTCACAAGAAACCACTTTCAGGATAACAAGATAAATAAATATGCTTAAAACAATCCCTTTCTTTTATAAGCCTGTATAGCGCCGAATACATTTCGAACAATCTAATCACACATTTACTTGTCAAGAGAATTTATATGAAGTCGGAAAATAGGAGTATATGACAGGGGATCAAAATTTAGAAATATAATCAGGGAAGAATGGCAAATGTGATCTTATTGTTAAAACAGCTTTGAAAATTTTATGTGAAAATTGTTCGTGGAGGATTATAAGATTTGCGGAAGCGATAGCTGAATGCAAATTGAAGGTGCCACTGACTACACAAAAACCGTTTGTTCTTACACCCTGAGACCTTTGGTAAACTGCACGCCCTATCACTGAAATTAGGATTAAATGTCATTTTTTTCTTTATTATCTTTTAACTCAAAGTTATGAAGATTTTATTTCAGAAAGTATCAGTAAATTTCTTTTAGAACTATAAAGTGATTGCATAATGACCTAGAAAATAACAGAAAAGGTAGAAAAGTGCAACAGCAATTTTAAAATTCATTCTGGGTGATGATTGAAGGTGAAATGAATTTTTGGACCACAGTTGGACTCGAACCAGCAACCACTGGGTGTCCTGCCCGATCCTCTACCAACTGAGCTATTAGGTCCGAGTGCTGACAAGATTTTTACTTCACTTCAATCCTCACCCAGTATAAATACTAGTCTGCCAAACCACGGCTATCTCACATAGTCAAGTAATAATTAACTGGATTAGTTACCTAGGTGATATAAATGGGATTGCATAAGTAGAAATTACTGGAATTTAAATATTTCTGGTTAATATCAAACAATAAATATTTTGACTAGACTGTTGAATGATGAGGGATAAATTCTTTGTAAATTATTCTCATTACAGACAAATTTTTGAAAGATAAGAAATCAAAATTAAACTGTAGACGGTTCAAATTTATTATTTCAGTATAAAATTACATAGACTCATTTATTTTCGAACTTACCACGCCTCTTTATTTAGATGTTATATAATTATTTACACCGGGTAGGCAAGTATATAAAATTTAAAGACTGTAGTCTGTGAAGAAGACTTAAATAATGTGGGTTGAAATAATAATAATGGTAGTTATAGTAATAAAGCTGCTAGTTGATGACGCAAAGGTCAAATGATAACAAAAAAGGTCACGTCTGACTAATATTACCTAATCCTTTGATTGTTGAGTAACTCCAACACTCCAACGACTTAAAAATCTTACGTAACCTTTCTTGTTATCATTCGACCTTTACGTCATCAACTAGCAACATTATTATTATAACCCCATTATTTAGTGTAGTATATATTTATTATTATTATTTGTCCCTTGGGTTCCTAGTGGAACATAGGGATTCAGTAGCACGTCTCCATTTCACTCTCTTCTCTGCAGTCTTTCCAACCCGTCTCCACGACTGCCCAGAAGCTCTCATTTCTTCCTCCCATGATCTCCTCAATGTCAGCCTCTGAGACCTAACTCGTCGTTTCCCCTTTGTGTTCCACTCGAGAGCCCGGCCTGACGCGTGATGTCTACAAATGTTCTTTCCACTGTATGCCCAACCCATCACTTTCTTCTGCATATTTGTTGGGTGATGGGTTCTTGGTTGGTTTCTTGTCAGGCCAGAGTTCCTTGTTACTTATTCCTATTAATCTGACCATCTGGTCTTGAGTATCGAGTGAGCGTAGGTGGCAGATGTTGATGAGTGTCTGTAGTTTGTTGAAAATGCTTTTCGTGACGGGCCAAGTTTTTGAACTATACAGAAGCAGTTACTTGACGTTGGTGTTGAAAATCCAGATCTTTTTCACGCTTTATGCTGAATGCAGTTGATCTTCATGCTGGTTTCAGATTAATGAAGGCCTATCTTGCTTTTCCGATCCTATCTTTCACGTCCTCACCTGTGCCGCCGCCTGTGGTTGAGACGATGCTGCCTAGGTAGGTAGGTAGGTAGGTAAAAAAGGCTACTTCCTTTAGGTTTCTCTCGTTGATGGTGATTGGTGCTTCTTAGTATTATTGTTGTTGCTGATAAAAGTTTGCGGTATCCTGTAGGGTTCAAGCAATTTCCAAATTACTTCTCGGTCGACGCTGCCGAAGGCCTTTCCAAAATCGATGAAGTTGAGGTAGTGAGTTGACTGCCATTCTACGCTTTTCTATGATGATGCGTAGCGTAGTGTTGCAATTTGATCACAACATGATATTTACTTCCTGAATCTAGCGTGTTCCGGTCGTATTTTTGAATCTGGCGTATCTTTTAGTTTCTCCAGGATGATGCGGCTTAATTTTTTGCTCGGGGTGGACACAGACAGCAGCATGATTCCACGTCACTTCTTACAAAGACTTAAATCTCCCTTCTTTGGAAGTTTGATGAGGTAGCCCTTCTTGCAATCGATAGGTACCTTTCCTTCCTTCCTTGCAAATTTTCTGCAGCAGTGGTGTGAGCATGTCCCCTGTTGCCTCTTCGTCTGTTTCCAGTGCTTTTGGCTTCCATCTGGTCCTTCTGCTTTCCTACTTACAGCAGCTTTATGGCGTTCAGGACTTCCGCTTTTGTCGGATGGTTTGTGTACACTGGCAATTCTGTGACTGCCGGTGGTATTTCTGAACGAGTTTCAGGTGGTAGTGGTCGATTCAAGAGTCTTTCGAAGTGGTCGGCCCATTGTTTCTCCTCTTTGGTAACTACATTTTGTTCACTATGTCTTATTGGTGTTGTCTGTGTTGATCTCTTCCCTCCCAGATAGTAACCTGGTTGTTTGATATAATGTTGTCAGGTCTATATCTCTCCTACCTGCAGCCTGTTCTGCTTCAGTTGCCAGTGTGTCATAGAAGTGTGTTTTGTCTTAGCGCGCACTCTTCTTCACTTCTTTGTTTAGTGTAGTGTTTTATGGGTTGTATTCAGTTCCTCTTTTCTTTGTTCATCCCTGCACTGCACTGCCCTGCACCACACTGGACTGAACTGGTTCATCTTCTACTTTGTCATTTCTCTCTCCCCCCTCTATCAGCTTTTATGTGGAGATCCGTGGAGATGCATTCGTTGTCCTGTTTCTTCTTCCTTCCTAATACGGTTATGCAGGTTTCCTTGCACGTCTCTTTCACAGGGTTCCAGTGTTGTTCCACTCAGGTTTCCTCTGAGCTGTTGCCTAATGTCTCCCATTTTGTCATGATGACTGGCTGACGTGAAGATGTTCATTGTAGTTTTGTACTTTAGTTCAGATTATGGGTGTTGAACTTGAACTGTTGTCTACCACCAGGTTCTGTGAATGCTTTCAACTTGATTTTGAAGGTAGGTTTCTTGCACTGGATAGTGAGTGGTGTGAACCTACATGTGCTCTTCTTCTTCTTGTTCTTGAGTCCAGTAGGCTGGCTGCGTCTACACCTTCTTGAGATTGAGATGAAGTCGATATGATTTTTGGTGTGTCGTGATGTCTGGTGAAATACATATCGCTTTGTGAATATGCTTGTATTTGTACACTGTGCCTCCAATCACCAAATCTTTGAATGTGGAGAAATCTGCAAACAGTTCTCCATTCTCTTTCACTTCACCGAGTGCCTCTCGACCCATGATGAGTTCTTTTCCTGTGTTGTCTGCTCGCAGTTTGGCATTGAAACATATCAGGCATTAGAATTTTGATGTCGTCAACCGGGGTGAGGTGTTGTCGAGTGCTGATTGCAGTTGTCTATAGAATTCTTCCTTCTTCTCGTGGTCTGCACTATTTGTAGGTGCGTAGCGTAGCGTGGCATTGTATGCTTGTTACTTTCCTTCCTTTTGAGTTGGATCTTTCTGTCATGATCCTGGAGGAGGAGATTGGTTCCCACTGCATGAGAGCGTTTGATGCTGTTGGGGACATCATGACAGCCACTCGAAAACTCAGTGTGTCTGTGGTTGTCGTGTTGGTGACAATGTTGGAGTAGGTTATTGACTCTCCAGTTGACAGTTTGGAGAGTCCACCCCCATTCCATCTGTAGATTCCTTGCAGATTCGTAGCCTAGCACTTCTATGCTATACCTTCTCATCTCTTTTGCAATCTGGGTAGCCTTGCTAGGTTCAAACATTGTTCACAGCATAGATTTAGCAGAAAGCTAGAATTGTATCAAAGGAGAACATATTGCTTTACTGAATAAGAACCTAGATGCCTTTTGTACAAATGTATTTAAAAGGTTTGAAACAATTAGTCACCTTTATAAGATCACCTGACGTGTTAGCAGCATACATTTCGAACGATATGATCACACATCAATTTGTCAAATAATTTATATCAAAACTCAGATAGGTCAATTTAGCTAACTGAAATGTAAATATAGAGGACAACAGGAACAGAGCAAAATTTAACAAAAAAAAGTCAGATTCACACCATCAATAACATGAAGAGTTGAAATCCATACTACCAGGGTAGGTTTACTGTAAGCACAAGTTACTTCCTGGTGCATGAAGAGGGTTTGAATTTATGGATGGTAAAGGTTTTGATAAATCTAGGTATTCATCTTTGACCATATCTGTAGAACATAGTAAAGGAAGTCTTGAAATCAATTCTGTAGCCAGTTTCTAACTTAGTTAACTTATGATACAACTCATCATTGTTACAATATTTGGATTAAATTATTCCTTTGAAATACTTTCTTGACACCTTGAGTCAAAATGCTTGCATGAAATGTATGTAATTTATGTTTCAATATATACTGCAGACATTCAATCACTTATGGTTATAATATTTGACAAATGTTTACACCCAATACCTTTGCTGACTGTTTTTTTGGCAGTATTAATAAACCGATGAAAACAGAAATTCAAAACAAATCCTCTATTTTTACTCCATAGCTGTACGTTGTAATCAAACACAACTGGAAAATATGATACCTAAATATGCAAAGTTGGTCAGTGCACATAATCGTATCACAGAACAAGTATTTGGTTCCCATCAAGTTAATCAGTTTTGTTCCTATGGAAATGTTATTTCTATCAGATGTAATCCTGGATATTTATTCAATGATCGTACAGCAGAAAAATCTGTATCTTGTGAATTAGTATCTGGTTCAGAAACAGTGGGAGAATATCGCGGTTATTCTGGCACACTTCTACCCTTGCCACAAGCATGTGAAGGTAAGACATAAACATTTTATTATTAACATTACTATTTACAGTTTAATGTGGAACTTATATATACTTCAACATAACAATATTATGCAGATGCCTTTATCCGCAGTTATTACCAATTCGACTGTAATTTTTAAAAACCAGTTTATTTCAAGTTGAAAAGACCTATGTAACAAATGACTTCTTAGAAAACGAAAATACAGAAAGACTGTTTACAATTTACGGTGGATGAAATCCACAGACTATATACTTTTAGCGGCTTTACTAAAAGCCACCTTATTAAATACACATATCAAAGACATGACTTTCGATCAGGTTAACATTGCTTTGTACAAAATTTTCCTTTAGCTCATTTAAAATAAATTTATAGATTTGGTTTTTGTTATGAATTCGAATAGCTCAATTCGAACAAAATTTCTTATGCGGATTGTACTGCTTTGCACAGATACAAAAAATGTGGTTCAGCAGTGTTGCTTGTAACCAACTTCAGTCAACTTGTAGTTTCTTTTTGATTAAAATTGATTGGTATCTTGCAAACTTCGTCCTAATATCCGGTATCTGCTGGTAAAATTATTGTTTACTGCCCCCTTCCCCCTTCCTTAGGGGACTTGAGGGTTCGAAAAACACTTCCAACTGATCTCAGCATAACCATTAGCCTGATTTTTGTGTTGACTTGAAAAGACTTCGAGTTGTACTTTCTTCTGACTAAAAGAAACCTCCGTTATAGTATGCAGAGATGGTTAGTTAATCTGATAATGAAATATTGAAAAAATAGATAATCTCTGAAAGGAAGGCAATTTTATAATTTTACACAAAACTACTATAGTTATACTTGGTAACTATACTATAGGAAAAGACAAGATATGGTTTCAGGGAAGAAAAGTTCTTTCTTTTCGACCAAGTCATTTACTAAGCTGTACGTTTGCGAATATATGTTACAGTGGGCCGAACGTTCCAGAATTAGGGGCAAAATATATTGAACAAATAAAGGAAGTTAATTAGTACACATTTGAGTTTAGAGTGAGAAAATAGACAGGGGCTTATGAAACTAAATGTAATTATGTAATACAGGATGAATGTATGACAAAGTAGGAAAATGAAAATAAAATTGTAATTATGTAATGCCGGATAAATCTATGTTATCCTAGAAATTCGACATTTTTATGCTTCCTTTCACAGATTTACGTTCACAATATGAAAAATAGTGTTAGTTTTCATCCCATTTGATAGCTATGACTAATAATAAAGTCGCTTATCTTCAGTAATAAAAATGCAGACCAACAAAGTGATGCTTAATCATAAAAAAGATACCGTACTTTTTCTCTGTCACACTTATGTAGTAGAATCCCAATGGTAAGGTATCTTGACTAGTTACGTCTTGCAAATATCTACAACTAAGTGTTAATTAATGTCTATTCTACCTGAAATTGTTGTCGAACATCTAATTACTCTTGGTGATACTCAGAAGTAAAAATTCTTTGACAATTTATGAGACACTGCTAGCAGTTCATACATTTTAAGTATGGCTTAAATTCTTGTACATCGGTCTGTCTCAGATTATTTAGAACCTTAGTTGGCACCAATTCTGAACTTGTTGATGATATAGGCTAGCTGACCGTTTGGTAATTTCTCTCTGTAAATGATGCCTGGGACGAATTACTCAAATCTACCTATAACTATAACTTCACTCAAAATAAATTTGACACAAACACTCACGTAGTAAATGGTTTCATATTTCCGGTAATATTTAGGATAAAATTACTACCTATCACTACATTTATCAGTACCCTTGAAGTTTTAGTAGCACTAATTTCAAATGATACGATTGGTTAACACATCTTGACTATGCATGCATTCATCGACTTATCGTAAGAGGTAAATGTTTAGAGTAATTATTTTATCAAGAAGTTAGGTCAAGGTTATGAAAACTGAACCATTACATTATCACATTGAGTTTATTCAGTTCTGAATACAGAAGCAGTACAATTTTCCTATTAACCGATTCAAAGAACTAATAGAATGTCTTATAAAGAATCAAGTGTTCAGTTGGTAAATCGATTTCATAAGAATAATTAGCATCTGCTGTTACAGTAAATAAATTAATGCATATACAGACAGACAAATAAATCAACCATAACCTTGCAGAGTGTATCGGTTCAAGTTGCCACACTTCACTGAAGTGTAAAAAAAAACAAGTAAACAAACATAGTGGTATTAAACTAGGCAAAAGTGTAATGTAGAAGAAACGATCAAAGAACGTAAATAAGTTCACATATTCTAACTTTCAAAGTTGTCAGAGAGTGAATACATCAGAGCCATTGGGACTAATTTTCAAACATGTTACCTAAGTTATAAAACCATTGGTTCTCATTATCTTAAGGATCCCAGTCTGGCAGTCTGCATCGCTCTATGTGGCTTAGACTGAAATTCAAAGACTTCATGAACTGGTGACATACGTTGGTCTGGTCACTCTTAAACCTCTTCCAACCCAACTTAACTTTGCGATTCCAAGTAAGAGATGGGCTTGGCCTGTGAAACACTCGTCTTCACCACCTCAGTCGGTGAAGTTTCATAACCTCATCGATTGATTTGCCTTCCTTGTCTAATGCTCTTCACTTAACCTTCGTATTATTCATACGGTGTCTCCATCAAAACCAAGCATTTCTATGAAGACGCTTGTGGTCTAAAACCTGCAATCTGTTCATGTCTTCCACTTTCGATGGCTCTGTCTCACAGCCGTATAGTAGGACAGACCAAACCACATAGGAGTCAACTCGTTCTTCAGCAGGTAGTCGGACATCTCACCAGCATCACAGATGATATACTTTGGCAAGCGCTAAACAATCCTTTTGCATCGGACCTGAGATTTCATCAACAACTAAACCATTTGGGCTGATTTAACTCCCCAAAGCAAGTGGAGCCGTCAAAGCATTCCACCACTTCACTCTCTACCTTTAGACTTAGAGTGGTTATAGACCAGTCCTGAAGCATCGTCTTACATATGACGGGTGCGAAGCATACTTAGATTTCTGCTCAAGAGCTTCAGCAGACTTTTCATTTATGCCAAATCTGATGCAGGTAGTACAAAACTCAAACGTTCAATACTTAATGATCAAAGAAAAAACCAGATATTTAACTTTTGAAACAAAATCTTGTGTGAATGTACAGGTGGGATCCATTTTGATTCATATCAGGTTTATTTGGCTAGTAATTTTATCTATGTGAATCACCAAAAACATGAAGCTTATATTTACATGTGCAGTTTGAAGCAGTAGTCCCCAACTCGATGGCTTAATGCTACTTCATATTCTGACTACTCCTTTGTTCTCATAATAATTATATAGCAACCAAAACAATACTTTTTAATTGAGCATACGGAAAAGCATGTCATCTAATTCGATTTTGGACAAACCTCCCTCAGTTGCAGTAAACACTCATCCTTTGCCTGGTGAGTGGATATTGCATTAAATCACTATAGTAGAGCCATGATAAGGCGTCTAATGACTTCAGCTCAGCGGTGGACACAGAAACCACACTCCTATCAGTTACCAGCAGGAACTTGACGCTCCTTGTGGAACATGTATTTGGATCGCAATTACACGTTGGTTGCTTCCTATGAGAAACTATTTAAAAGGTTATCGAAACAGAATGACATCCCTCGTCAAGAAGAAGCCTGAATCTGTACTTAGTGTACCGCAAAGGCAGTGTTGAGGACTGTAGCTGACCCTCAGACAGTGGTTATAAAGGGTCAGGTGACCATACCAGCTTCTTCTAAAATAACAGATCCACAACGGGGAATGGGAGTAACTGACAAGAAGTCTACACAATGACAGTGAACAGTGGTGGGGAGCCAGAGCTGAAGAGATGGAAAGGGCCACGATGGTAGTCAAAAAAAAAAATAATTATTTTGGTTTATCAGCCAAACTAGGACGAAAAGCTCAGTGGTTAGTGAGATAGTATTGGAGTAGGATGGGCCTGCAATCCACTCGCAAGAGATAAAACTGGGACGGTGAGATAAACACTTTGAAAAACAGGACAACTGGCGATGGGTAATTATTCCGTTGCCAGATATCCACGTGAATCCTGAATAGAAAGTCGAGATAAGACCCCGAACACTTACATAAGTTGAGAAAGCTATAGGTAACCCGAAACGACGGAGGGGAGCATAGCCAGATGGACTAGTTCCGGGGGTGTTTTAAGGACATTCATAGAGAATTAAAATCAAGTTTATTGAACTGCTAACTATTGTATGGCAGTCACGTATGATTTCCTCTTGTTAGCTTCAATCATTGGTTGCACCATTCTTGAAGAAAGGTGAGAAGTCCTGTTGTAACAACCACGGGGAACCGGCGTGACGAATACGCTGTTTAACATTCACGATTTTATGATTATGCGACGTCTGAGTGAGGCTCATGAACAACAAACCTGAGAAATATATTTTTGAGATGAATGGGGATTTTTAATTTAGAAGTAGTATTCATCATGGACTGACATGTCGTGAATTGACAGAAGTTGGAAATTGCGAACCACTAGAAACCGGCCCAGTGGCTGAATGGTTGACGTGTTCGCTGTGAGACCTGGAGGTCCTGAGTTCTACCCCTAGCCGGGTCGTGGGTGCGTACTGCTGAGGAGTCCCATACTAGGACAAAACAGCTGTCCAGTGCTCCCAGATTTTCAATGGTTCCCCAACTGATGTCAGTCCATGATGAATACTACTTCTAAACCTGAGAAAACCAGGAAGGTTTCATGCTTATTTGTGGGTCCATCTACCACATATTCACTCTCCGACAGGTTCTGAAACAATCACACTTACCGATACCTGACAACACCTGCATTACTCGGCCTGAAGATGGCATTCGATTTCATCTATAGAGAAGTCTCATGGTAGTGTCTCTTATTGAAAGGCGTGTCCAGTAAGTACAGTTAATGGCTCTGTACTCAAACACCCGTGTGCATGTAACAGCTTATGGTGAGTTGTATGCATCAAGCGATGTCCATTTAGGATATCCACTCTCTTCATTCTTTTTAAACATAATCATAAACGTACTCATGGAGGTCTGCCTCTAGTCGTCTGTCTTCACTTGGATTTATCTTATCATCACAGAAGAGTCGTTGGAAGTTCTAGAGTAAACAGATGACCGACAAAAACAACGTAGAACCTCGCACACAAGTTCATCAGCTCAAATTGCAAGTGGAGATGCTGACAAGATGTAGATCCTGAGTGGATATTGAAGAATGTTTGAAACGGGTTCATCGCTACCCAGATACGAATTGTTGCTCCAGGATTAGTCTTCAGTAGTGCATTGTCTAACAGTTGGTATTAAAGTGGTTCCGATCGTTGATCACTTACGTGTGAAGTCAGATCACCCTTAGTGGGCTAATGACCGACGAAATTTCTTCACAGATGCAAAAGTCTAGGTTGCCTTTCACCAACTTACACCATTTATGACTGCCGTGATATCCCTTTGTCTATTAGGGGTCAAGTGTAGTCAGCTGCAATTCGCTCTGATCTCCTACATGGTCATTAAAGGTAGAGGACATGAAAAGGTTCCATGTTTCTGACCACCGTTGCCTCCGTAGCACAGGTTATATCATAGCGCTGCCACGTGAGTAACCCAGATGCCAGAAGTGGAATTTGAAGAGGAAAGTCAGTTAGTGGGGTTTTGAACCTTTGTCGAGTGAGGTGGCTGGGATGTGTTACGCATGCCTAGGTGTTACCTACTTTGTCATGCAATATTAACTGAGGAAATGTTAGGGGCGGTCAGAATAAAACATTACATCAGTTCCTAATGTGTTCGACTGTTGGTCTGAGGTTTGTAGGAAAATGTAGACTACTTAGTTTGGGTCCACGTGATAATCAAAACAAGTGGTTGCGGGCTCTAGATAAAACGGCTTAGGATCTATCTTAATTGTAAAGATGTATCCACTCGTTATTTTCTTCTAAATCTTTACACTAAATTTCAGTATTTTCTCATTCTTACTTGCTCTCTTTTGATGAATTTCCACCACTTTCGACTGCTTTCTTCTTTATTTCTCATCTTAGTGCATTAGTGCATATGCTGACGTGAGGTATAGCAGCTTAGACTGTTATGCAGTAATGCCAGGTCCTATTTTGATTTCGTCTATCTGTCTGTCTGTCTTACTGCACAAAACTAACATCTGCCTAAGATATGCAGTTTCTTTGTACTCACAGTGCCCAAGTTTTACTTCTATATTAATCGTTTCTATATAGTTTGAAAGAAAATCTCTCGGTGTTATTTACCCACTGAAAATGATAATTGATTTTTTTGTATGAGCTTACCCCTAATTCATGCTTCATCAATCTATTTATTTCTCAAACTGTGATAAATGTATAGAGGACTCGAACCAGTGACAACCGGGTTTACGACCCGATGCTCTACCAACTGAGCAACGAGGTCCGGCCGCGGTGCAAATTTTCATTTCACCTTCAATCATCACCCAGTATGTATTTATCAGTAACTGGTATGTAATACACCGATAGAGTCACGAAAATTCGTACCAGTTGTTTCAGATGCAGGTGGATTGTATCCACCATGTTGTTTTGTAATGTAGAGCTGGTTGATTTGGTTTTAAAAAATAACTTACACTTTTGATTTTTTTTAGAGGCAACTTGTTTATATGAAGAAGCTGTAATACAACCAGATTCGCATATGGAGCCATATTTCATTGTTATAAGAAGCAACTTGAATGTGGTGAACTTGACAAAGCATGCTGGAGTTCCATATCCTCGTGGAACAGTGATTCGATACTTTTGTAAAAATGGATATGAAAGTATCAATCAAAATTCAGAATTGAATATCACCTGTGGTGATTATGGCCGGTGGACACCACAGTTGATTGGTTGTATCGGTAATCAAACATCTCTATTTTTGTCAGATGTTTAAAAATTTTCTACTTATATAGTGGGTTTCTTATGTATTGAATCATCATTGATGTGCAAGCAAAGATTATCACATGTATTTTTACCAAGACAAGAGAACTAGGATATTCATTTAGTTTCCTTGTTTAGTTATGATGCTGGTTTACATGGTCAGTTTTTGAAAATGGTACTCTAAAAGTGTTAACAGCTACTCATAGTTCTACTCACCCTTATTGATTGGATCTTCTATCAACCGAATCTATGAATAGCTTTCGAAAGTAAGCAAACAAATTCTTGAATCTATAGGACATGAAACCAGATATTAGTTAGACTACTTTTCTTGAAATGATGGAAAAGATTTGTAGCTTAAGATGAGGATGATGGTGGTTCAGTGTTCTCTGAGCTTTGGTATTTTGTTGTGGTGGCAATCTCAGAACTGACTTCATAAAAAAGTGAAGTTGTTGCTGACAATTTCACCATGCTTCGTGACGATACGTCCACGAAAGAATACCGAAGCTCGTAGAATACTGAATCACAATCAGACACCTTATCTCATTGCTGGCAGTGAATCACGTTTTTAGTTCATAGTCGATGTTGTCGCACAATGTAAACAGTGTTTCCAGCAGACAGGCAGTGGTTATCAACCGAAGCACTGGAGTGGAGATTACATGGTACCTCTTCCCAGTACCAATTTATTTTATCAACTAAATACCTACTGACAATACTTGTGTCTTTGAGTAAAAACGTCTACAAATGCTGTTTTTACAGTTAATTTTCTATGTATTCATCAGTATGCAGACAAATAAACAGTCATATGACAGGAATACTATGAATTTGTACTAAGATGGTCTATTAACGTATCAATTGTTTATTACATAAGTTTGTTAAGTCGCTTAAACAATATGTAAACATTTGGATATACATTACAACAGAGGATTAAAGGTTTCAGTGGTTAATTTTAGCTATTTGTTATCTTTACCAATGACAGGTAATGCCTGACAGTGTAATCCACGGCGCGCCTTTCGCCCAGTTTAAGACTCGTCACCTGAATGTACCTGCCTTCCAGTGAGGATGTGGTTCCCACTAAGACTGGAACTCGAAACCAATCGCTTTGAACCCCAGACCACTTCTTGTGTGACGGGTGTAGTTTATGTTACTACTCGTATTATCCTATTGTTGATTGGACCTAACTGATCAGTCTCTACTGATATATGGGCTCCAACACAGACTCCTCGATATTACCTGTTTTTTCAATTTCGATATCAACAATGGATCAATGGTGGATAACGCTCTGGCTCTTGAAGCCGCCGGCCCAGGGTTTCAGTCTTTGGGCGAACAACATCGTACTCTTGGAAGTAGGTATATTCAGCTGGTGAGTCCCAGATAGGACGAAATGCAGGTCCTGCATTCCACTGTTGGCCACCATCCATCATTAATATCAAAACTGAAAATACAGGCGATATCAAGGAATTCGCAAAGAAGTTCATGTGTCAATAGAGACCGACCAATGCGGTCCAATCAACGACGGGATAGTACTAGAGTAATGCCATCAATTACCTTTGTTTGTACTATATTAAGTCCCGATCTAAACACTGGCATAAATACAAACCATCTTGTGTCCAGTAAAGTGTATCATGATATCCTAATACTTAGTTTAATAGGTACATTCCAAATTCGACTGATATAATTCAGTTAGCGATGACAACTAGGGAAAATGACATTGTGTACTGTCCAATAACTAACTATTCCACTCAGTGCATTGGTTCACAGTGTAAGCATAGGCTCAAAGAGCTAACTGTTAAATTTTTTGACTGTGGCACTGAGTGGTACCAGTCCAAGTATCAGGAATCGTATCAGGTGACGTCTATCGACAAATTCAGGTAGTGGCTCTTAGCATAGTTATTTAACCTTACGATAAACTAGTTTGAATGTTTCGCAATTCAGTTTGGAAGTTTGTGGGGATTTATTGATTTCAAGGTGGTATTCATCACAATTGTTGAACAAATATTGTTCAAATAAGTTAAATAGACTTTTTATGCATTAGTAGTAACCAAATATTTACGAGGCCGTTTAATATCTAGAGAATTTAAGAAAATGTAGAAGCTTACTAGGTTCACTATCAAGTAGTTGTGATCATTACCAAACAAATAAACAGATCAGTGAAGTACCTGGCACAGAAATGTATCGATCCAAGTTGCCTTACTTCGCAACAACACAGAAATTGGAAGTGAACACAAAAATAATGATATTAAAGTCAACCAAGGTGTATGGCAGAATGATTCAACGTAGTTCAAAGAAAGTATCCCAAATTTTGAAGATGATAAAAAGGTGTATCTGTGTCTGTATGGCTTAGGGTTCCCAACCGACGATTTCTGACAGATCAAGGATTCTATCCAGGTATATCATACTTTCTTACTTGTCACTGGTAGTGGTATAGCCACCTTCAACTTTTTCTCAATTTGTGCTGACACTGTGCATTGAGGTGGGTGATGGTTTGGTATGCGTAATGTATATCCTAGCCAACTTACTGGATATATACTGACTACCTCATTGACTGGCTTGTGTTCTTGCCAAGCACTATACACTTAGCCTGAAAGTTCGTTCTAAATATGGTTCCGGCATACGTGAAAACGCTAAAAAGATCTATATGAACAGAAGTGAACGCTGATTTCGTCTACTTTCTATGGATGAATGAAGTTCCAAAGATAGCAGCAGTTCAATTTATCAAACTTTGCAGGCAATATACATAGTTGTTAAAAGCCGAAAATATAAGGTTATATATATAGACCATTAGATTCCGACCCGGTGACTCAATGGTAATGTGCTGGACACGGAACCCGAAGGCCCCGAGTTCGACTCCTGGGGGACGAGGTCGTGGGTGCGCACTGCTGAAGAGTCCCATACTAGAACGAAGCAGCTGTCCATTGCTCCCAGGTTTTCAATGTTCCTCTACTTGATGTCAATCCATGATAAATACCAACTTGAAGTTAATAAATCCCCATAAGTTTTATATATATATATATATATATATATATATATATATATATATATAGCCTACAGAGTTTGATTAGTTGGACTGCTGCTATCTTTGGAACTTCATATATTTATGAGAAGTAGACAAAGTCACAGTTCACTACTGTTCAAACAACTGCTATAAGATTAATAAAAACTGGACCATAATTTTTGGGTATCCAAGTCCCAGTTTTTTCTTACTCAGAATGCACAGAAAGCAATAAAACTAAGTTCAGTGGCGTATCTGGTATATTTTCATCCTCATTTCCATTTTGCGACATACTGAGAAAATTTGGGTTAGTTACATTAGGTGTATATAGTAGATAAATACACTATGAGCTATAATGCAATTTCCATGTAGTATACTATCATACAATTTAGTCTGTCAAGCATATTGTTTGTTACACTTTTTGATGAGAATGTCATTTAAATCAGTATCTAAGCAAGAATGCAAATGTTTTGAAATCGTTTCACTAGTCCCTGAATAATATTATCCGAAGTTGATTCTTGGTGGCTATCTCGTAGACGGTGAAATAATACTGGTGTTATATTCACTTGAAATGCTATATATTGTCAAATTGTTATCTGAATGCGTTTTAGCTGAAAATCTAATTCCAAACTCCATCATGAATATAAACCGACGAATATTTTACAAGGGGAGGTGATAACTGAGTTAAAAGAAGCTGAACGACTAAAGGTCGTGAATTAGTAGCACAGCACTAACAATACGACACCCTTTCAGTTAAATTATCAAACTCAACCACCACATAATCGTACAGTGAATCGAAAATACGTGGTTGTAAATTTTTTGAATATTCACTGACTATTTCTTGAAAATTTCTATAAATTACTTTAAATTCCACTTTTAGCTCGAATTGAAAAAGTTTCTGTAAGTGATACTGGACGCTTTTACAGTGAGCCTGAAGAAGCTGAGTCAGCATTAAAGTTGTCATCAATTATGTTCATCATGGTCTTCATATTTCTGGGAATTATATTACTATTAGATTTAGCAACAATTGGAAGAGATTTTAAACAAATTAAAAGTAATATTAAACTACAAAAAAGAAGAATAGACCATTCAAAAAATAAAAGTAAGATGGGATGAAAATATTGGAATGAAATGCACTACGCACAAATTTTATCTATCTGTCAGTTTTCATAAAGCAAATTCATTATTTACAATTCTGTTTCTCATACTTAGATAAATGACAGTCTGTACTTTACTTTTTCTGAAAATTTTTTATTAATATGCAGTTTACTCAGTTTATTTCCAAGTGATACATGAGAAATTCATCGATACATGAAAAAAAGGCATGTGATACATCAGTGCACTTCATTTCTACTTCATAGTTATGAAATTTGGATTTTAAAGTCAAACATACACCAAGGCAACACAAATTTAAACACTGGTTCACTTTACACGACCGATCACTTGCAGTGAAACTAATGAGTCACGAATTTCGAGATTGGATGTACGACTTGAGTCAGTAAAGTTAATCACCTACTAGAGATGTAGACTTATAAAGACTATATTCGCTAAACAGTAAGAATATGACAAAAGAAGTAATATGATAGTTTAGTAAGATGGTTACACCAACTTTGAAACTCATGCACGTTTTCAGAAAGATAAGCCTATTGAATGCAGTCTCCAAGATGACATAGGTCGACGGTTGGAACTTGTGCGAGCCGTGGTCCATTCGCCTAGACATTGTTTTTCAACCAATGCGTCACGAGTTCGAACTTAGCTCCATCTACTGAGGTTTGCCCATCAAGGTAGTACCATTGACCCTCATACAATATATGTGGCTCATTGCCCACTGTACAAATGTGTACAAGGTTGTTGAGTGGATTTCGATCCACCATTCGGTGGCAACTTTTAAGTGAATTCGTTTTAAACTGATACCAGTAGTGTCAATCAGCTAAAATAAACGGCACCTGAGTCAAAGTTGTTATACTTCACATAAACACACGAAATATCAGTATGAAGGATACAGAAATCGAAAAGCAATGTGATCAGGTGTCATAGAATGACCTAAGATGAGAAGAAGAGGGTCAAAGCATATAAATAAATGTGATAAGACGATTAGAATGAAGATAATTTGTGAATGTGTCTGCGCCACGGACTGACTCCGAGCCATGTCACAGTTTTTTAACCGTCTATTTGTGTTGTTATGTGCACCCAACTGTAAGGCTTACAACAATTTACACTGCTCAGACCAGTAGTCAGAGACTTCATGGAGTAAAGCCACATCTTGGTCCAGCAGCTTTTCAGGTTCTCTATTTAATCAAACTGAGTTGGCGTCGCATATTGGGATAAGTGATGACTAGTCATGCCCAACATGTTCCAGTCATCTGAATCAATGAACGTTCACTACCTAACACTTGACTCTCCTCCTTCACCCAAGACTATACACCTAGTCATTACATAAGATAGTTATACCATGACATACTACCAATGCTACAAAGGCATTGGCGGTAACTAATGATCCATATACCTGTTGATCATCTTATCAACTAATTAACCTAAGCCCTGCGAAACAGACTGCTTCAAAATTTTAATCCTAAAAGCAGTTGGATTTATAGATAAATGTCAATATTCCTGTTCATGTACACACTTGGTGACTGTATTCTTGTTGGAGTAAAATATAGTATTTAAAGGTAGTCTGATGAGACTGAAGAAAGTACCTTTCAGTCAGGGGTTATTAAAACATGGTTTGAGACACTTCAAAGAATTATCAAGTAGAACAGTTGCAAGAGAACGTATTACAAGCAACTTCAGTCGCAAAAAAGAACAAAAAGCAGTTCAAACGCAAAGTGAAACCCTGTACATACGATACTAGTAGTAAGAAAAGAAACAAATCACCCAAGTGGTCAAAAGTAGCTAATCCCAAACAGTTAATTGTATTTGCGAATAAGCCTCCATAGTCAGGAAGGTTTCATCTATGATGAGAAATGTATCGACTGGGCCCCTACAATAGGCTAGACTCATGCCTACTTGTGTCCTATTCGGGTCATATCCTTACCTAAAGGTTTCACTTAACCTTATCAGCCGAGTTTTCCTAATAAAAGCTTGGGAACGCTACGGCAGGCAAATGGATAGGTAGTTTTTGAAGCGAATGATACCAGTTACAAGTGGTCATTCTCCAATTTTATGTGAGAATGCTATAAGTGTGATAGTGAAGACAAAAATATTTTTCTCTGAAGAACCCTTGTGTCCTCAATCTCTAATAGATACGTTTTACAGCCATGAAGTAGAACACAGGGAAATAACTGTGTAGTACAATGGATCCTTGGTAGACAATTGGACATCACGCTGATATCACAAATGGAGTAATCAGGTAAAAGACATTTCAGCCTTTTGTTTCCGTGCAGAGATATTGTCCTCACTGACTTATCATGGCTGATCGAACTTCTCGATATATACACTTCCTTTTTGTAATCTTGCTTTACCAACCTTTACGTGCTTGAACTACACTGTGGAAAAATTTCTTACTACTTTCTTTCATGCTTTGCATGTCTTATTTTCACGTGTAATTAACTCTTTGAATGTGATCTAGACCATTTAGCGTATGCTGTGTGGAAAATCATGTGGGGAATTACAACTTCACTTCATTTGACTTGTCAGCACACAAATATGTGAGAGATCAACTAGAATGGAGATATGCTACCAAATCAATACACTTGTTTCCCATATGCTTCATTTTGTAGCCTACCCCGGTCATAATCGACTGCCTCAGCACTTATACATTTTAGGCAGTCTTCCATAATAACAGTGTTTTCCATATCTTTAGTGAACTACTTACAATGTTTCATTAAATCTAAAACACTATGATTTCGTATTTCTGGATCTTGCACCTATGAGCACGTAAAAAGGTACCTCAGAAATTCCCGATTGCTTGTAGCTTCCAATGCTTATTGCTAATCTTGAAAAGAACAAAACAAATGAAACCGTTCGTTTTATTTAGTGCCAAGTACTTATATACAATTAATGTGATTTAACTGGATCACTAACTTAAGGAAATGATGCAGAAGATACAGAGCATTTTAAAGAAAGAAATGCAACAACACCAACCAAACCGAGTAGTAGAGATGACTGACACTTCGGGGTGAAAAGGTTATTTTACACCTGTAAACTCATTACAAGCTAAAGCAGCGAATAAACGATCCCAATCCCACGTTTCATCATTCTAAAAAACAGAAACAGAAGTTTAAATTTTTTAGCTACGCTCTTACTTCTTTCAATTCAGCTTCAGAAAATAGATGCTTTTCTAGGACACTTAGATTGATATCACTATCCTAAAAAGGAATAATGGTAGTTAAAAATTAGAGCGATTGCAAATTTCATTGTAGGAAATCTTACCAGCACTGGAATTGTGCCATGGTTAATTAGATCCTGGTTAAGTTCACGATATGATGGAATCCTGTTTATAACTACGCTGAAGATATAAAACAAATAAGGAAGATAATGAAGAAAATCGCCTTTTCACACTAACTGTCAAACGTTAGAATAAAGTAAACGCTATTTTTTGCCAACAATTATTTTCCTTCTTATTTTATTCTACATAATATAGTGCTCCTAAAAAGTAGTTTTTTGGCATGCATAATACGTATATCGGCTATCTTTATCATCGTAGTTAAGTAGCTTCACCATTTTTTCTTTGAGTAAGCAGTTGCACGAGTCCATAGTTGTTCAAACAGGAAAACAATTGTACACCTCTCTTTGCTTATGTCTTGCCACATTTGTGATTTGAATACAATTATATACAAAAAACTTTCTCAGATTTTCTATGTAAAATGACCAAGCCTAGCAGTGTCATAGCTATAAACGACGAAAAAATTGAGACCTCAGATTTTTGAATTTATATCCAAATTAGTAAGAAGAACAACAAAGGAGATTCTACATTAATTTGTTTTGTTGGACATTTCATACAGTAGAAAGATATTATTCACTGGGTGGTGTTTCAAAATGAATTGATTGTCGAGATCCATACCAAAGGTATTAATTTCTTATAAGAAACTGAAAGAAAAAGACGAGTAACATGGGCATAGATGACATACATACTAGTTTAGGAAACACTAAGAAACTAGAATTCAAAACCTCTACGGCGTCAATATATAAGGAAGGCGCCCCAGATAGTTTAAGCAGGTTTATTAAAATGGGTAGGATTAGGGTGCCAATCAAAACTCACTGAGACGCTTTTTAGGGAAAAAGATCTTACACAATCCATCAGACAGGATAATTTAGTTTACGCAATGAATGTGAGCTCAACTATAGCAGTCAGAGTGGTCGACCGGGCTCAGTTACACATAAAAGTAAAAGTACGTGACCAATCTGAAAGAGTAGACCCTAATAAGATTTTTAAAAACATAGGGAAAAGACCAGCCATCGTGATGCATGTGATCACACATGACTACACAACACGATGAAGAAGGGAGACACTGATAACTGAAGCATTGTTAACAAATCAATGTTGAGCATATGCAATAAGCATGATTCAATATATAATCCAGATAGTTGGAAAAACCTGAAACACATTGAAAATAGAAGAAAATATAGAAACATAAAAACTTGTGGTGAAAGATGTACAGTTATCTTTGATATGAATCTTAAAAGTAAATTTTGTTTGAAACTTCATCCAAAAAATAATATTGTTTCCTTGTATGAATTATTCAAAAAACATATTAACATGGAATTATACAGTACCATTGTGCCTTCGGTCACTCTTTTATCAACAAGGGAAAGGTATCAGTTTATTTTTCAGTGTAAGAACAAGAGATTGAGACAGTTAACTGAAGTCAGTTTCAAGATAAAATAAAAGTTGATCTTGAACTTTGTGAATCTTAATTGTATGATAAAATTTTAGTGGTCATTATTAAATCCGACACTAAAATTTCATAAACTGACTAAATCGTAGTTGGAATCATATAGAAAGTTTGTAGCAGAAATGAATCAGCCTTCTGATTTAACAAAACTTCAAACATTATGCAAAAGAGGTTTTCATGACTATATTTCGTTTCCATAAGTATGCTATCAAAGACTAAATACTCATGCATGCTGGTAGAAAAGTGCAAACAAAAAATAACGTAACTAATGTGGATAGCGCAAAAAAAAACCGACACAAGAGATAATTTCAGCAAATATCTTGTATATTGACTTGTCAGTATCTCCACTTAACGGGATAATATTGTCTGCATACTCCAAATCACCTACATGACCTTCAGGGAGTAGATTAATCCCTTTGAAGTTAGACGTACCTAAGGTTATGCCTATAAATATGTCTATACCGAAGTTAAAAGGCACGATGAGTGGACATCCCTGGTTATCGTCAGTTGTGACGATAACTATCCATAAGCCCATACACAGCTGCATGGGTTGAATTAGAAAGCTTTGCATAGAGTCATATATATTTGTTCAGTGTCTCTCCTCATGCCCAAAGTTAATGCTGACCAAAATTAAGTGAACGTCTGAACAAAATTGCATCAGACAATCACCGCTGTCCGTACGCGGACATGGGACTCGGTAAATAGCTCCAGGATGTCTATTCGACTAGCCTAGTTTTCCTATTTGAGCGTTAAAGTCACCTCCTATTATAACTACAACTGGACGTTTTGCTTTCTGCAGCAAAGTTGACAGCTTCCCATAGAATCCATCCTTTGCATCATGCGAATTACAGTCGGTGGGTGTGTAGGTAGGAATTCCTAATAGGCATCGCCTAGTCTCACAATCTTCCCTAGTCCTTACAGATCCATTCAGTTGAACAGCACATACACGACTGTTGACTGGTCTCCAGTCGAGAAGCGCACTTTCTGCCCTACAACTGAATGCTACGCCTACACCATCAAGTTCACGAGAGCTAGCCAGGTACTCTTAAGGTAAGATTTGCAGATTCACCACCATGGTCAAGTGAAGTCAATTTAATAACCACAGTCGGGTCCTATATACGTGTCTCAGACACAGCATACAGCTATGGCTGGAGATTTACAGTTCTGGCGAGTGATGCTTGCTGTCCGATTTAATATAGGATTCGGAAGTTGAAACCTCTCACATGAAATCGATGGCGAGGTCTTAAGAGACTAGGAATGAGGTCTGATGGCTTTGATCGTTGACAGTGGTTACAGAATGAGGCAGTGGGTAAGGCGTAGGAGTTCTAACATTAGTACTAGAAGTTAAAGGCAAGGGTCGAATGAGTTGAGGAGAATAGGCTATGTTTGGTTAGTTCTTGCATACTACTGAAGTGTGTGGGCGGTCGACTTTTACCGCCTGCCCATACCATGGAGAGCTATATTTCCTAGAGTGCCTGGAAGGGGGAAAGATTTGTGCGATTCCAGAGCCCATGGGATATCCGCTTGAAGTCTGTCATACTCAGCCTTTTTTAGGTTGTTGTTTCGAGACTCGGTTGCTCTAAGGCCGGAAAGACAGAACCCAAACCGCCAGTATGAGAAGACCGTGGAGTGGGGAGGAGTGTACTATTCCACACTTTCATTGAGAAATCACCATCAGCGTGACAGTGTTGGTCATCCAGATGAAACACCACACTTCTGCCACACACCATCCAGCTGGTAGCAGTACGACTTCGCCCTCAGACTCCATTATGGTGTAGCAAGTTACACTTCAACGGCAACTGCTTTTCATCTTACCACTACCCAACAGATCTTTCTGGCATGCTCGAGGGGAAAAAGGGGTCCACCAACAGCTCCCTGGGTCATTGTGATATGCAACCCTAACCATCACGTCAAAGTAGTAGCTATCAGATGAGAAACTTCTTGGGCCAACAACTGATATCAGCTCCTTAGTCGAACTCATTCAAGGAAAAACTGGGTCTTTACAGAGAAATCTACTGCATGGACTAACACCCGCTAGTTGTGTCACTAACGTCATAACTGAAGACTGAACCACCAATTATGAACGTGTTGAAGTGTATGGTTATAATATCAACAACGTCAACAGAAATTATTCCCCAGCAGTGAGGATCCTCGTTAACATATAAGATAAACTTTACGCTGCTAGTGATTGACACCTGTTTTCATTGGTGTCGTGATAAGAAACTCTACACTGAACTTTCAAACCCCTCTCGAAAAACTTTTTGAATATTTAATTGCACAAGCATATAATTGAGGAGTCCTAGGGTTTTACTTTGGAGGAACTGCAGATTTGGAATCGACAACACTTTCTTCGGCGCTACACACATCGGGAATTATAGGGATTTCTGTGGATTTCGTAGCTTGTTAGAATAAGTAATTACCGAGTTCTTCATCGGATTCTAAAATGCAAAATGAGTATTAAAAGAATAATCATACCCTGTTTTTGTGATAGGTCACAGATATTCTGTAAATTCGTTTGAGCTCTGTATATACGAAAGTGAGGATTCATAATGATACTCACCTCCTATAAGCAGTGAAAATCCTCATTAAACAAGGGAGAAATCCATTTACCTTCCAAAAGAAACACCATGCGGAACGTTAATCTCATTCCAATCAGCTATTCTGCGTCCAGGAAAACCATTGCATTCCTGCAGCAGATGAAAAATAGAAATTGTAGTCCGCTGTAGACTTCATACTTTACCCTCAAAAGAGTCCTGGGAATTACCATCTTCACATGTCACTTCTTTTTTATTTTGTATTGCCGCTTTTGCTCTCCGCCCTTTTTTAACAGATTCCTTTTAAACTAGATTGCAACGTAATAACTACGGCATACTTTCTCCAGCTCATTGTCGACATCCGAATCATCCGCCATAATGAGTTATTTGAAACCATAACGACCATGGCATACGAATTTTAAATGAATTATATCACAGTTAGAGCGATAACTCACTTGTATTCTTTCCTTCGACCTGAAGAGCGACTAAAATTCATCTTGTTTTGAAATTATTTAGACAATATATTTTTAAATCCCTTATTGAATATGGTAAATTGGCACTCACCAAAATTAATTCTTTTTTCAGTAGATTTTACTGTTTCAGTGAGCGTAGAAGTCCCTTCCGATCTCTCGCATTTTTTCTTGGGGATATGATTTTTGTAGGTTGTTTCCCCAGTAATTTGTTAACTGAAGTCTAACAGGAAAACAGAAATAATGCGAGGCAATGGATTTATCAAGAAAGCGGAAATTATCGGTAAATGCGAATTTTAAACGGCTTCTTACAGATTTGTCACATAACTTGCGGACTTGCGGCATAATGTGTGCCTATGTGCATAAATACAGTTTTTTTTCTTTATTTATGGCAATGTCTTCACTACCCCCTGTATATACAAACAGTTTCCACATTTTTCAAGCACTTCCGCCTTCATCTACTAACAATTTTCGCACTGCTGGGTTTATTAACGTTTAATGCCTGCACTATTTGTGTGCTACCAGCTCAATTTACGAATAGTTTCCGTATGCAAAGATTATTATCAACGCGGCTGGACTAATACCGAATTCATTGAGAATGCATACAGAACACAGGATTATAATATGTATATAATAATAATAATATTTATCCCTGAATATACAGGCACACACCTTTTTACAGGTATGAATAAGTTTATATACAAATTACATTCATCTTCATGGAAGGTAGTCTGAATCCCTACCCTGTATATATAATTTGGCAATTAAAGTTCACGATCTGCGCAGGAAAGCTGAAGGCAACCAGACATTGAGTTCCTCATCACTATTGCAGATATCGTGCGAAGCAAAAAAAAGAAATATTATTAGCACCCATGAGAGCTGTGATTCACCTATAAAGAGTAGCTAACATTCATAAAGTTAGCCTACTTTTCCGGGTTGGCCATCCGACACCCTGAAAGATAGTGGGTACTTCAGGAGAAATATTAAGTACTTTTCAGTCATATTCAGGCGTAAGGAATAAGAGCATGCGCCGCTGAGCATATGGAGTCCTTGGCCTCAAGACGCCTAGCTATTTTGTCCATGACTTTGTGGAAGTACGACTTAGTAGAGGCGTCACTGAGGCTCCCGATCGCATTTTGATTGGGTGATGATAGCTACAAGGAGCATAGTGATAAAAGTGAATCTTACTTCTCATGCATTATGAACCTACTAAAAGTAATAGTGCCTTTAAATTTTCTGAGCAGTTGAGTAATTTTCTTCATCAATTTGACCTGCCACTTATCACGTGGAAGTAATATTTTTCTCCCAAAAGTCACAAATTGGTAGCAACTTTTACATCCATGTATTGTTTGTAGGATCTCGTAGTGTGTTACACCCAGGAGCCAAACCGCCTGTATTATTTCCACACTGTACGAACTGTGTGCACAACGCACACGATATTTACGTGATACCTGGACTATTTCCAGAATGCCAGCACCATTTCCACAGTTCAAGTATTTCGTTCTTATCGGTCGTACTATTTCTACACTACTCACCTAATTCACGCGGTGTACCGTGTTGTTAGCGTGTTCAACCGTATCATTTCCGCACCGCGATTAGACCGCCTAAGTGAGGAAGGACCCTTCGGAACCGACGGAAAGATTCATAGTATTTATAAAAAGTTGCCAAGGTTGATATAAACTGGGCGCTGAGTAGAAAGAAACAGTGCCTGTATAATTAGAAGGACAAGACTAAAAAGAAGGAAAGGCGACGACACGTGGGTGAAATGCTAGATAAGAAGTTTTACAGAGCTTCTGCATGTCGCTGGTAAACCGTACGTGCCAACCTTTTTGTCAAACGACCTCTTATATGAGCTCACTGCGTGAGCTATTTCTACTTCCACGGTGGAGCGACCCATAGAGTGAATGCTGTCGTGAAAGAAGTTTGCTCAGACCCTGGTATTGCTCTTTTTGGTGCCACTCTCACTAGATTCCTTCACGAGACGGCATTTCTATCTGGTTTTAGTCGTTCTCAAAACTTATCCTACCGACTACCAATTTTTCATGTTGCTTTTAAGCAGCTTGTTTTCCTACGCCAGTCAGCGTTGGGTAAGTTGTAAAGGAGGATCATAATTAAATTTGACTCCTCGTCCCATAGTCCCATGACATGTTTCATTCTCCTTCTCTTCAGCTCCTTCAGAATGTTCTGGTCAGTGTAGGTACTGCTAGGCTAAGAACCTAGGGATATTTTTTGACGAACGTGTCAAGGACGATGGGGGACAGAATCAAGCTGCCTCTGAAGTGTTCAAAAGAGTTTTTCCTTGTAAGCGCTTCTCTATGATTCATTCTTGTATTTAACATTGTAGGTAAACCCGGCACGCATCTTTCCATTCAGTAACCTGTAGGATGACATGAAGCTCAGGAGCATAGCCTACTTTCCTGGCCCTGGAAGTTCGGGAACACCCAAATTCACAGTCCCGCTTCGTGCAATCGGAAACTAAATTCTAAAGGGCCATCTGGATGTTCCTTTCTGTCATCATTCCCATATATTACCGGCCGTAATTTTATATGATCTGTACATAGTAGGATGGTACAGTAAACCTTTCTGGGCTAACTACTAATGGAATATGCCCGTTTATTCGTGGACAAGAACAAGACATGTATCAGCAAAGAAATATTTCTTTTCAACGGCTTCATTATCAAGCTGCAGAGTCGTATCCATACTCGGTAAAGTGACAGATAATTGCACAAAAAGCTGCTCAGTCAACATGCAAAGTATGCAATATGTGACTGTGGTGACATCCGTTCTAGTGAAAGAAATAGAAAGTGGGTCACTGAATAAGGAATGAATTGATAACAAGTGGTGAGATAACGGACACGCAATGTCAAAGAATTGTAAAACAGTGATAATTTATCTGAAACACACTGAATGGGTTAGTGGATTGAAAATCTGTGATAATGACGATAACAAAGGAGAATTATGTCAAAGTGAAACGAATGAGACTGATAAAACATCCAAAATGAATCATCAGGGCCAAGGTGGAGCAGAAACAGAGGTACACCAACAGCCTTTTCCTTGGAAAGTTCAGGCCTGAAGAACGTTCACCCAAACTGGAAACTTTTAACCTTGGTGCAGAATTACCCACCCCAGGGGACACCCAGAACCAAGACAGTAAGAGTCCGCTGATTTCTGCTTCCAAACCTTCCACCAGGAAAAGTTTCGGAAGCCTTTGTGAGATCAGGGGAGACTATGTGAGCTGCTCGGTCATCATCCGAGAAATGTGTCATCATTACAAGCAACCGGCAAGTTGCTGGCAGAAGAACTTCTGTTTCTAAGTGCGTGTTGGATGGATCCAGTAACGTTACTCGGACCGGCAACTCCAAACGGCACTGCCTATCGAATTTTTAGTATTATCAACGGTACTTATAATAATTCTGCAGGCCCTTAGTTGGCCGCCACCTTTAAAAATTGAGGACAAGACGGCTGGCTTCACCTGTCATGATGATCCAACCATCTGAAAGATCATTACAGGTTTTTAGTCAAATGATTCCCTAGAAATGTTGGTGATAAATGCTGTTTGTATCCGACCGCGAATGTTCTTCGGCTCTTGATAACCGCTCACCCAGTAGCGAAGCTAGATGGAAAAGAACCTCATATGAGGCACCGACTTTGAAGTCTTATTGAATAGTTAATGACGAAACCCCACACACTCTGTGCCATAATATGGCCAAAGTAACCAGAAAGAATTTCATCTTTGGCTCAAGTTATTCAAATGACTCTATTCATAACATTATCAGCCCAAACAATGGCTACACTGTGCTTGTCACCATACAACTCTGGCACCAAACTTCCTGTCCGTTTATCCCGGCACCTACAGCCAGTTTCGCATACTATCTGTATACAACACAAATTCATTGAATGCTCGCATGCTTTCAGCTTCGCTTATGTTTGACATCCGATTTGTGGTGTACTCTTACTAATTATGTGACTCACTACTGCCAGGGTATTGCTCATATTGAGTTATCATACCCGTAGAACTTTTCACTGCTGTCGTGTAACAAAACGGCTTTCACTCATCATTTGTGACCATTAATATCCAAACAACTGCTTGCTTCAGAAGACTATATGTAGCCCCCGATCTATTCTTTCCAAATATTCCCAGACTAGTCGAGAAAAGTAACATTCGGATGTTGCCTGCAAATATGGCACGTGTTCGGTTAACTCGTTATTCGAAATCTGTCATCATTATTATCGTTACTGTTTTTTTCGTTTCAACTCTAATTGTTGCAAAAGAGTTTGAAAGTCGTTCGTGATCTCTTTATCGTCATGGGCCGGTCTAGCGTTGGTTCACAGGGTTTCAGCCAGTTATGTCTCGTGTTGTGAAGCACTGGCTGGAGCTGGTGGATGACCTCTAGTGAGTATATCATGCACTTTGAGAAAATTGCTCCATAAAGATTTTGGCAATGGGTCAAGATTGCCGTCTACTGCCTCTCTAGCCATGAGATCAGGACTTGTGCTAAAGGAGATTCTACTTCTGATTTGGAGAGCAGAGCCCGTTTTGATAGGGTAAAGTTTAACCTCCGGGACATCCAGGTGCGGCCAACTGGCTGAAGCTCCTGTACACGCTAGATGAGACCATCCGAGTCGACACTTTCCTCCCTCCTACAGATTTTTTGATGTGAGAATTAATGAAAGCGGGAGTAATAATAATGATATTCGTTCCCGAATATGCAGTCACACACCATTTTTATGGGTATGAGTAAGTTTCTTTATAAGTGACGTGGATCTTCATGCAAGGTAATTTGAATCCTCATCTACTGTCTCTAGGAGATAAAAGTCCTGCCAGAAGAAAAATGAAGCCTGAAGCCAACACTTCCTTGCAACAGTTTGCGCCTGTTGCCCGGAACAGTTATGAAAAGTTCATGGGGGAACATATACGTACGTCGTTT